AGTTCACTAAAACACTAATATTTACAAGAGAAATGAAAATAAGATTGGAAAACTATTCTCTTGTGTTTGATTGTTTGAATAGTTGTTTCTAACACTTCTTCAAGTATCCTCAACTTATATTTATATGTTAGAATGTTGTTGTGGCCGTTGGAGCCGTTGGGGATCAATTTTCGCGCAAAATAAAATTGCTCAGACCAAGGAGTATCAGTACTCTTAAAGGGAGTATCAATACTACCTTTGTTATATTTAAATTCAACTAGCCGTTACTAGCTGTTGGGGCCTTATGATATTGATATTACTATACAGAGTAGTATTAGTACCCCTTTGGGTATCGGTACCATTTTTGCATTCTGAAATTTAAGCAAAACTTGTAGTATCGACACTACCTAGTGAGTATTGATACTTCTCTTACCTTTGGTATCGGTACCATATGAACAATATCGATACTTGTTCAATTGATATCGATACTATAAGAACAATATTGATACTACTTGTCCAGAAAAACGTTTTGTGCTCAACTCCAAGCTAAGGACTTTGAATTATTTTTGAAAAATTTGAAAAACTTTGAATAAATTCAATTCAAGTCCAAAAACATTTTGCCTTAAATTGTTATATCAAAATATAGTTCAACAATCTTCCCTTTTTGATATAACAAAACATTTGAAAAATTGTTTTTGACAAAATTTCCCCTTAATTAAATATTTAATGAAAAAGATGTCAATTGTTGAAAATATATGAAAATGTTCATCTCCTCCTTTTTCATTAAGAAATTTGAATATTTAGCTCCCCTCTTTCATTAAGAAATTTGAATTTTTCAAACCATATTTCTCTCCCTTTTTGTTAGATAAAAAATAATTCAACTTTAAAGTTTAAAAATAATTTTGGAGAGTAAGTTGTAAAAACTAGCATTAAAAGCATTTAAAAAAATCAAAACTCTCTCTCAAAAAGTGCATTCAAAACAAAATTAACTTTAAAATCTTGACACTTAAATAAATTGATTTTCAATCAAAGAATAACAAACATGTTAGTAGCACTTGAAATTCAATATATCCAAGTCTAAAATACTTTATGAAATACCAATATTTTAAATTAAGTGCATATGCATAAAACTTTTAAAAAAATGTTATGCAATTTAAAAATTTGATATCAATTGTTAGAAATACATCTTTAACACTTAAAACACATGCATAAACATTTAAATTTAGGTTAAAAATTTAAAATTTGTAAAAACAAAGCATTTGAAAATTTGATATCAATTGTTAGAAAGATATCATTTGCATTGAAAATCAATTTTGATCAAAATTCATTATAATGAACTAAAATCATTAAAAAATTTAAAATGTTCATCAAAAAACTTTTTCAACATATATGAGATGAAAAACAAAACATAGTCATTTAAGATTAAAACTCATGCATGCTTAAAACTAAACGAGTAACCAAATAATCAAAATCAAAAGCATTAAGCTTAGAGGTTACACATTCCTTTTCAAGTGTGGCTAGAGCATCTCAATTTATTCACTTTCATCATCATTGCTCCTACACACCTACAAGAGATATTTATTTGAATTTTGGTATCCAAATTGCTTTGGATCTTTGGACGTTAGTTTCAATGCCCCTTGTTCCCTTAGGAACCCATACTTGTCTAATTTTAAAAGATTTTTATAGGACAAACATGTTCCATATGACCATGGAAATGTCAATGTGAGCATTTTTCCATTTTTAAACATAATGAGTTGTTTTGAGAAATTAATTTTTTTTCTTTTGTTAAGCTCTTAAGGTTAACTCTCAAATCAAAATTTTCTTTTTCTAAATAATTGATTTTGACTTTTGAAAACTCTAAATCATTTTTCAAATTTTTATTTTGATTCTTAAAGTCAACTTTTGCTTTCAAAACCAAATCATTTTCAACTTTGAGTTTTGAAATTAATTTCTTATATTTGGAATTCATGGTTTTAAATTCCAAATAAAACTCATTATAAGCATCTTGTAACTCATCAAAAGAACGTGAATTTAAATCATTTGAGTTAGAAGATACCTCGGAATCTTCTTTGATGGCCATGAGACATAGGTTGGCTACTTCATCTTCATCACTCCAAGCCGCTACAAATTCCTTTTTCTTTGATGATTCATTCTTCTTTAGGAGAGGGTATTCATACTTGACATGCCCATTTCTTTGACAATTGAAGCACACTGGAGGACCCTTCTTCTTGGTTGATTCATGCTTCACTTCCTTGGAAGACATGAATCTCTTGAACCTTTTGAAGAGTTTGGCCATCTCTTTTTCATCACTGTCTTCATCCACCTCTTCACTTGAATCTTGATATCTCTCATTGGTGGACTTGAAGGTAACGCCTACCTCCTTTTTTCTTTTCTTCTTTCTTCTTGACATTCTTTTCTTCATCATCTTTCTCTTCTTTCATTATCAACTCATGAGTGAGAAGAGAACCAATCAACTTGTCGAGAGTGAGAGACTTTAGGTCTCTAGCTTCGATAATCGTCGTATTCTTCGATTGCCAATACTTTGGAAGAGAGTATATCATCTTTCTTACAAGCTTCTCATTGAAGATTACTTCTCTAAATCCCTTTAAGCCATTGACAATCACGAAAAATCTATCTGTCATAGCTTTGATGGGTTTCATCTTAAAATTCTCGTAGCTATGGTTGAGAAGACTTATATTGGTTTCGCTCACTTCATCGGTTCATTTATGAGTGACTTGGAGCTTATCTCATATCTCCTTGGCATTGGAACAATAGGAAACTCTTTCATATTCATTCAGGCCTAATACACAAAAGAGAATGTGCATAACCTTAGCATTAAGTTGAAACTTATTCTTCTCTCCATCACTCCAATCGTCCATCTCACCGGTTGGAATGGTGTAGTCTTTCATGATAGAGTTCCAAGCTCCTAAATCTTTGGCTTGATTGAAGAGCTTCATCCTATTCTTCCAATAAGCATAATTTACTCCATTGAAAAAATGTGACTTGTTGACCGGTTGTGAATTTTTAATATAGTAGGCACCGGAGGTTGAAGCCATTTATTTGTCGATTGAGTCGGGAATCGGTAGAGCTTCTTCGAGGATCGTCTCAAGGTGGTTAAAACTTCTAATGAGTCAAACTTTGATACCAATTGTTAAGATCGAAGAGACTCAAATCATACAATCGAAAAATGTGCAAAGAGGGTTGAAAAGATAAAATTTGTTTAGGGAGTAAGGAGAGAAAAACACAAGCCAATGAACACAAGGATTTATAGTTGTTCGACTTCTCAACAAAGTCTACATCCACTACCTTAGCTTCTCACTAAGGATTTTCTAACAAATCCACTAATTTGTTCTTTCTTTTTAAAGGATCAAGAGTAACCTTTACAACTCCCTAACTTTTGAATTGGCTAAGATAGAACCAAAACCCATTTACAAAAGGATAAAAGAAGTAAACAAATAAACCTCTCAAATGTAGGTGTTTACAAAGAATTGACCTCACTAAAACACTAATATTTACAAGAGAAATGAAAATAAGATTGGAAAACTCTTCTCTTATGTTTGATTGTTTGGATAAGTGTTTTTAACACTTGTTCAAGTGTCCTCAACTTGTATTTATATGTTGGAATATTGTTGTAGTCGTTTCTAGCTGTTGGAGGTTGTTTGGAGCCGTTTGGGATCAATTGTCGTGCAAAATAAAGTTGCCCAGACCAAGGAGTATTGATACTACCTTTGTTATATTTAAATTCAACTAGTCGTTACTAGCCGTTGGGGCCTTATGTTATCGATACTACTATACATAGTAGTATCGGTACCCCTTTGGGTATTAGTATTTTTTTTGTATTCTGGAATTTGAGCAAAGCTGGTACTATCGGTACTACCTAGTGAGTATCGATACTTCTCTTACCTTTGGTATCGGTACCATATGAACAATATCGATATTTATTCAATTGGTATTGATACTGTAAGAACAGTATCGGTACTACTTGTCCATAAAATCGTTTTGTGCTCAATTCCAAGCTTTAATGACTTTAAATTATTTTTGAAAACTTTGAATAAATTCAATCCAAGTCCAAAAACATTTTTGCCTTAAATTGATATATCAAAATATAGTTCAACAACTTGAAACATTATGTTCTTGAAGTAGTACTTGAAAAACAACTACGGTGCCGATGAATATCATTAAAATATAATTTTGTCATATTCTTATCAGTAGATCAACATCTAATTTTTTAATAAAAAAGAATTCAAAATATATGAATAGTCAATTGTTCTTCAAGAAGTTTCCAATCAATTCTCCTGAATAGCAGTAGACATTACATATAGCACAACACATTAATTTTCCTTTATAACAAATCTTAAGCAGCAAGCAACAAGAGAATAGAAAAGGAAACGAAGAATGGAGCTGGAATAGATGCGTTACTAACCTTGTTGTGGAGTGATTTCATATTTAGACCTTACATTGCAGTCTTCTACAGCTCTTTTGTTAGATTGTTTTGCGAGAGTTGTCTCGCCTTCAAATAAAGGCTCCCGGTGTTCATGTGGTGTGGTTGCAGAATCCACCATGCTTTCTTTGCCTTCATATATAGGTTCGCTTCCAGGCACATTTCGATTGTGTATTCTGCCACTAGAAGAATCTGAATCAGCATTTTGTAAAGACACGGATGATGCTTTTGTCATGTCACACCCATTCACATAATCTGGAATGTCACCGGCATTAGTTGCAGAAGCGAATTGAATCTCAAATTTTTCAATCGCTCGGGGAACGTCAGTGTTCTTTCCCCCCATAGAAGCAATACTCCCGTTAACCAACGGTGTCATGACATCACTCTTCTTGACCACATCATTCGGAAGAGTTAATTCTCCTGGTTTAAAACAAGATAACTCATCCTGAATAATCACATCAATCTTCGAGGACTCTTCCCTTTCGAGGGTCTCTAAATGTGTCTTACTTCCACCATCATTGCTCAAGTAAGTGCCCATTTTCTGATAAGGAAGGTTCCATCCGCTGCGGGATCGGATTTCCAACACCAACTAAGGTTTGTGAGTCAGCCTCCGATAATTTCACGACTCTCAATAACTCTGCTTCCTCATCGAGATCCCCTTTTCTTAATTTCCGATCAGAAACAGAACGAGGAGAATCGTCAAAAGATTTGGATTTCAAGAGGCCAGGAGAGGGAACTCCCAGAGTGGCAGTTGTTGCAGCAGCAAAATCCACACAATCTCCGGGCTTATTTTTATGTGAAGCCTCCATATTCCGTGCTTCCAAAGCAACAAGCTTTTCCATGATCGCATTATAGGATTTCGACCCGATGGCACAAGCAGTTTCATAGTCCTGGCACATGTGCACCATGAAAACAAACCATAAAATTCCCTATGCACATAACAAGCTTCCACGGGTTACATGAGGAGCTCGGCAGGATTAACACAACGACACAATCCGCACCCCATCGAGCCATAGAAAATGCATTGCGTACAACAATCATACAATCAACAAAGACAATGAAAGCACATAAAAACACAATTCTTATTAGCTTGAGAGTACCTGGGGATCAACTATCCAACCATGATAGAGAGGAATGTCAAGCAGATCGAATATGGCACACTCGGAAGTGAACTCGAAATCATCTGTTCTGTATGTTGTACACATGATTCAATACAGAACCGTAACCGATTCGTCAAAACATAAAGAGAGAAAGAAATGAAAAGGCTAACCTCCTGAATTTGATATTCACATCAATCCTGCTAGCAAGACGCGGGAGTAAATCGATCGCATCCGCTATATTCAACAGTTGCTTTTCGACATATCCGGCATCTTTATTCTACATTGCCAACAACGAAAGGATTCATGATTCATCACTATCAAACAAACTATCCCAGTGCAACAAGAAAAACGAGGCTAAGCATGAAAAGGGTAAGAAATTACGTCAACATTACTGTTCGAATCAATGACACGCTCAGCCACCAATGAAAGTAGTTTCTCCCGTGAAACTTCGGCTGTATCGGAACTAAGGTTCATATTGTTGCTTAAAAGGAGAACATTGCCTATCATAACATCGAACAATTAGAAAATTTATCGTCTTCATAATTCAAATCAATACAATGATAAGGAAATAAATCAAAATTTAAAACCCAGAAATGTAAGAAGAGGCGATGGAGAGTTTCAGATGGCGAGGAGAGGGCAAGGTCCATTGTCGTTTTGGAGAATAATAGGCGTAGTACGACCTAAGAACTGGATGGCCTTAGTCTTGTACGTGCACTCTTTGATTACCTCTTGCTTTTGCTGTTGTCTTGCTTTCACTGCTTCTTCTTCCTTCGATTCACATACAAAAGAAGGCAAAGAAGAAGAAGCAATCGCTGACATTTTTGTTTTCCAAACAATTTGATCATTGAAAGTTTTATGTTTCTACAAAAATGTGAATCAAAAGACGATCGAGATTTCAATCCAAGTTGCAGGCAAAAACTCTTGTATGGGTTGTTTTTGCTTCTGGTTCAGGCAAGCTTCCTCCATGTTTCTCGGAACCCATTGCCAATTAACTAGCTGGTTTAGACTTAGCCCATAGCTTGATGGACCAGAAGCTTGTGAAAAATTAAATCTTTAGGGCCTTGGATACCAGTTGGAACTGGATGATCATTGAAAAAAAGTTCAAATATACAATTGTTTTAATCGACGGCTCTCAGAGAATTATAATTCTCTTGGCCGTTATTCACACCGATTGAACCATGAAGATGCACATGGTTTGCCTAGGCTCCAAGAAGTACAAACAAAAGTTCTCAAAGGAAAAGAGAGAACTAGAAAAGGCTAATGCGAAATGAAAATGTTCATAGGTCGAGCCAGATCGAAAATCGGATCTTTATTTCGGATTAATGGAAGTTCATATTTGTGCTGTAAGTCAGACCTAAATTCCAGTTTGCAGGTGCAACATTCCAACATATGATAGTCTCCTTGGTTGTGTATGAGGTGATCTTGAAAGAAAGAGATTGGCCTCTAAGAGTTGCAAATGCTTGATATGAAGCTCCCCAGTTATGGCTCATGCTAATCCACCCTGTTTTGCTTCCTTTAATCCACATTTTTGCAATGTCGCCGCCGCCGCCTACGTTCATCACATACACCAACAACCAGTACCCGTTTCCTTGGAACTTAAATCGGAGCCCCCCTTTCGTTACACATGGTACCCTGCGAGAAATTCAAATCCATTAATCATAAAACAACGATATTAACTTTCACATAACTATCGCTATTCGAAAACATACCTTCGGTACATGACGGGGACAATGCCGGCCTTCCACTGAGCAATTTTCATGAAAGCGGGCTTCGACATGTCGAAGTGGACTCTAGGAGGGTTGCACCACCCACCGTCGTTGGAATCCTCGGCCCAATTCGGAGGGCAGAGGTTGGTCGCCGTGACGGTGGTGAATTTAACCGTGGGGTAGCACCACTTCGACTGCACACACTTTATCTGATAACAAGTCCCGCAGGCGAACCCGTTGTTGAACAACGTCGTGCTCAGTGCAGCCGTGTCCGTACCATAACCACTGCTAAACAAATTCCCATAGCCACAAGCTCCCCCTGCAGAAAAAAACGCCATTAACTACCAGGAAACATTATATATTCTCATACTCGTATCTAAATATGAATGTGTATAAAGTATAAACTATACTTACCCATAGTCTCGGAGGCGGTTTCGTCCCCGTAAAAGGTGGCATGAGCCAGCGCCCAAGGGCTCGGCCGGTACGCAGCTAAACAGGGTTTGCCGAAGATTGCCAGTGCTGTTAGAGCCATAAGAACAACCCCAAAGTTCCATGAATTCAATGAAAAAGACATGGCTTTTAATTATCTGTTTTTTCCTGTGAGATCTTCTATCGAACAAATTATGAACAAAGCTTGTGTGTATTGACTTTACATGTTTCGTTTATATATAGTTTGCAAACTCACCAACCATGGGATCCTGGAAGGATTCAAAAACCGAAGTGCATGCCTTCTTACACGATCATGGAGCTGAATTCTCTAAAGTCAAACTCAAATCATCTCAAACGGATATTGTTTATCATATTATATTTTTTGAATAGTTCTCGACGTGCGTGCAGGTTCTATCTGTGAGATTATACTAATTAAAAATGTTAAAAATATATCAAGTAATGTAATGGGTTCAGAGGTGGGGCAACTTCCTGTTAGGTATCTTGGGGTGCCTTTGGTAACCGGAAAATTTATAGAGAAGTATTGCTCAGTTTTGTTGGTAAAAATTAAAGAAAAACTTAATCAATGGTCCAATAAAAAGTTAAGTTTTGGTGGACGGTTGCAGCTTGTTAAAACTGTCTTGTTCAATATTTTTAACTATTGGAATAGGCAGCTGATAGGGAAGCGGTGGCGGGTTAATGAACGTTGCTCTTGTTGAAGAATCAAAACCTAGAAAAGATCTAGACTCGATGAAGAACAATAAGGGATGAATCGGGAAGGTGGCGGCAATAGATAGGGTTCTTTAGGGTTTCTTTTTGGTGCTGGAAACAAGATAAAAATAAGATTAAAACAAGATAAAGAAAAGATAAATGAATTGCAAATAAAATAAGATAACCAAGAAATCAAAAGATCTCCCTTATGAAGGTGAACGATAAAGATGATTGATGACGTGGATTGATATGTGGAAAATCGATGGATAATGTCCTATCGAGCCCTCCTAGTCGCAATGAAAAGGCAAACACGATAATATGGCTCTAACCAACCCTCCTAGTCGCGATGAAAAGGCAAATTGGAGTGTGAAGATTAATCTCCCTCACAAGAACTTGAAAGAACTCAAGGAGAAGAAGCTTCGAAGGCACAAGGCAATCAGCACTTGCAAAAACGAACTCTCGTTGTATTATTAATCAAAGAAATCTTCAATTACAAAGTTTAATGAAGCCTCCTTTATATAGGGGATGAGTTCTAAAGGTCCTAAATAACTAATGAATAAAATAATAATAAACTAAACATATCTTAACTCTAATTCCTAATAAAATAATAATAACTAAAGATAATATTTTTAACCCAACCTTAATTCCTAATAAAAAATAATAAATCTAATCCTAAAAGATAATGCATCATCCTATATTAAGTTATATTACAAATAATCAATAAAAATATTGAAAATTCGTAATATTTACAAAATCCAGTATTAATCCCGTATAAGATTTTCTGCATGCACCGTCTTCAGTAAAATAGCCATATCTTGAGTTCCCAATATCGGATTGATACGATTCAAGAACCGTTGCAAAGATAAGAGACAGACGGTCGTATCTACAGAAGACATATTGACTAAATAAGATCAGGATACCATTCAAAAAGTCGTCGTAAGTCTGCTTCTGTTCTGATCTTCTTTTTCAATGCTTGGACGAGTGGATCATTTGGAAGAGTTATTACTTCTTCCTTTGATGTGAGCCTTGTGATGCATGTATCATCCTCCCTTTCTTCAAAAAGATTCGACCTTGAATCTGAAAACATTAAAGGGAACAACATTAGAATCGTTTAATGATTCATTCACATTATACTTACCGAATAGATATGTTTTGAATCTTCGAGACTTTGTTCTTCTAATGGGTTCGAGTAGAAACATTAGTCCAAAGAAGCATGTATTATGGACTCTGGTGCATGTATCATTCCCCCACTCCTCAAAAGGATTCGTCCTCGAATCTGAAAATCCAAGAGAAAGAGATTTAGATGTGTTGAAAAAAAAACTTGTGAAACATTTACCAGGATCAATGTGATGTGTCTTTATGCGTTTTAGTCGAGGTTTCTTCTTTGTAGGAACTGATTTCTTGAAGTCTTGAAATCCTCTTTTGCATACAAGTCTTGTAATCTGATGTTTTGGTTGAAATTCAACATGGAGCCGGCCACTGTTGGCTTTATGTATGATTATTTCAGATAATTTCTCTATGGTTTTATTTGAGTGTGGCGAGAATGAGTGTTTAAAATCCATGTCAACTGGTTTGTTAAAGTAATCCCTTAAGTCTCCTAAGCGGGGTTCATGAATTAATGATTCCCGGGAGGAGCTTTGTGGACTGTAGAACCTGTTTAGTTGGCAAGGAAACTCATATACAAGATAAAGCTCATTAAAAGCACTTTTAAAAGTATGGGTAGAAATATCAAAAGTACCCGAGTTATCGTGATATAAATCTTTGATATGTTCAATTCTCGGAATAGTAGTATGAGTTTGATAGGTAAGAGTATACCTTCGTGGTAGTGTATCGTCTACTGAGTTTTGCTTACCTCGATATGTTACGCACTTAAAGGAGTTGTGTTTAGTATGGATAACAACTTCACGAGCCTTACCTTGTAAGAAGGAGAAGAAGTATGTTACAATGTCATTAAAATGAGTAATAAAATACTTACCTTTGGACTCTCGTAAATCATGACTCTTCATTGATATAGCATAGTGATTAGGGCTTTCAGGTGGTAACCCGTCAGGAGGGTCACCTAGCAATATTCGACAACTCTTGGCGATAGAAGATGGTGTGGGCCAGTCTCGTGTTGCTTTTACTATTTCATCATTTACATGGATTTTCTGTGCACGAACTATAAAGCATGTAGTGTTGTTCAAATCATGTTTCGTCATTAAGATGGCGTCATGACTAAGTCTTTCCTGGATGTAGCCTTTTTGTAACAAATCCAACTCTTTGGTTTCTTCGAGATTGTATGTTTGACGAGGTATGATGGAACCTTGAATTAGATTGGTTTGGCATTGTTTTCCTCTTTTCAGTGGTAGTTCATTAGGTAGATCACCTAACACTTCTCGAAAATCCTGTAAAAGAGATGAAAACACACTAGGCAAATCCTTGTTAATGTTAGAAATCGAAAC